CTCTCCAGTATATCCTTGAGCAAAGACAATCCCACAAAGCTAACCCAGACACATTCGCACATATTGATGAATTTACACAGTCATAAATTCTTACAGAAGAGAACAGCATGAATAAACGATACTGTGAGAACATAATAGATACTGAGAGAATATAATAATATTTGTATTGTGAATGTCGGAAATTACAGGTTGAAGCTGGACTGAAACAAATGCGTTTTAAGTGCTGATTTAAATTTTGATAAAGTGGTGGACTCCCGTAGATAAGCTGGTAAAGCGTTCCACAAGGAGGGGGCGTGGTGGGAAAATTCTCTCCCTCCGAGTCTCTGACTTTTACTTTGGACAGATCTTAAAAAGGCCGAGATGGTATGTATTCGACGATCATGTCACAAAGTGCAATGTTGTTGACGCACTTAAAACAAAGAACAATTATTTTGTACTGAATTCGTGCTTTCACCGGGAGCCAATGTAGTTGAACTAGCATTGGTGTTACATGCTCTTTGAGAGATTTCTTTAAAATTATGCAAGCAGCTTGGTTCTGGAGTCGCTGTAATCTATTTAACGTTTCAGTGGGAAAGTTTCCAAACAAAGAATTACAGTAGTCTAGACGTGAAAGGACAAAAGAAGAGATGAGGGTTTTGATGGAATCAACACTAAGATATGTTGACATTTATCCTATTCTGCGTAGTTCTAGATAAATTACCTTACATAGATGGTTTATATGATGGTGCAAGGAGAGTTTGCAAGTAAAATATATGAAAGTTTAGAAAAACAACAATCCCCCCACCCAGCCAATCAAGTCTAACCCCCACAGTGACCTGGGCACTGCGCTCTAAGTAAAACATTTCCAATTTTTTTTTTGGGGGGAGGGGTATATTTTACTTTTACCAAAATGTAAGCCAGCACTCACCCTGCCCCTGTGCCATTTCCGCAGACTTGCCACTCGTCGTAAAAGTCTTTCTGCCAGTGAGCTGTTAATGACACAAGTGACTTTATCAGTGCACTGGACTAAGAATGAACGAAAAATCAATCATACAAACAACAAATCAATCAAAGAATTGCTTGTCCATTTAACCAACTTAACAACCCATTAAGCCAAAAAACTATAGAGAAGTCAGACTAAAGTGATGACTTTAAATTGTACTGAATCAATAGCCAGACAAGTCAAACAATGATTTAGAACAAGGGACGGGGTATACAAATGACCTTTCACCCATTCTTTTAAGTTCCATTCCCCCTACCCGGGCAGTGCTACTGACTGAAGTTGTCTTTAAGACATTCCCAAAGGGGGGATATTAACATGTTCTTATGCACAGTAGAATTGTGAATGGGCCGATTAATCAATGCCATGCTCATACTGTACTGGAACAACATAAGGGGGACTGCTGCTTTTTCCCCTCATCCTTACTATCGTCATTTTTCATCTACTTCTTTTATATGTTTGTCACTCTATTGTGAACTGCTATTTCCGGGATGCCTTGAGAGTCAAGGCAGACTTTGTGCTGCTGAGGCTAGAGAGGTGAGCAGAGTAAGCCTGATTCCCCGTTTGGACGTCAAATGTTGACATCCATCCCTTCGCGCTCATATGACCTTATGCAGTTTCGAGCACCGTAAAAACTTTAAAAAAAACCAACAACACAAGTTCCATAGAAGGTAAAAAAAATCCTTTTGACAGCTGCGAATTGGAATGTACAGTTTCAACAGGGTTGATAAATGTAACGGCGCATTATACATAATATCATTCAAGCATTTGTGACAAAGAGCAGCCAACTTAATATTAATGAATTATTATAATACTCACACTCATTGTTGACCCAATCGTTCCACTCGTCGTGAGTGATGTTGGTGCCCAGCTCCGGCACAGGGTTGAGCACACACTTCTGCCGCAGAGCCCCGGAGTAGAGCTGCATGCCGATCAGCGCGAAGATGGACAGGACGAACACGGTTAGGATCATTACGTCACGAAGCCGGCGTACGGCCTCCAGTAAGGCACCGACGATCGTCTTGAGGCCTGGGGAGGGGGGGGGGGGGGGGGGGGAGGTAGAGGGAGAAATTGGATGGATGGATGGACGGGTGGATAGGTGGATAGATAGAAGGATGGTTAGATGACTCGATTGGTGAATGAATGGATGGATAGAGAGATGGATGGATAGATGGGTGGATATGTGGATTTATGGATTTATGGAAGGATGGACGGATGGATGGATGGATGGTTGGATGGTTGGATGGATGGTTGGATGGATGGTTGGATGGATGGATGGACGGATGGATGGATGAATGGATGGATGAACAGATGGATGGAGGGAGGGAAGGAGATATGGGTGGATGGATAGATGGATGGATGGAAGGGTGGATAGAAGGATAGATAGATGTATGGATAGATGACTCGATAGTTGGACGGATGGAAGGATGTATGGATATATGGATGGAGGAATGGATGGATGTATGGATGGGTGTATGGATGGATGGATGGATGGATGGATGGATGGATGGATGGATGGAT